TTCACATTATCTCTTGTGATGATGACCCTTTATCCAATTCTTATAGCCCCTCTTTTCAATAAATTTACCCCTGTAAGTATCCAAATTGTGTAATTTGATCAAAGCTTGTGACTGGATGGTGTTTTTAGGTTCAGTCATCCCACTTTAATTCTCTGTGAAAAATAGCTTCCTGCAGGTGAGCTCAGGGAGAAGATCGAGAAACTTGCTTCCTCCCTCAAGTTCCCACTGAAGAAGTTGTTTGTTGTTGATGGATCCACAAGGTCAAGTCATAGCAATGTGAGACCCTTGACTACCAAATTCAAGCTTGCCTATTTTAGATACTTACATTTATGATAATATATGTTAACTGATGTTTTGATACCTTATTGGTATTAGTTTCTTCTTTTCTTCCTGCATTATCAATTGAAAGTTCAGAGTATTATGGAATTCTATCTTATTAGTTTTAGATGAATAAATATAAGATATACCTACTTGGTTTCTAACGAATAATTCTTGGTGATGTTATTTGCTATGATCTCAATCAAATTACTGCCTTATATGCAGGCTTACATGTATGGTTTCTTCAAGAACAAGAGAATCGTCCTCTATGATACATTGATTCAACAGGTGAGTTGAAATGTTATGGAAATATCTTATCAGATTAGAGCCTTTACTTGCTGAACTTATTTTTTGGACAGTGCTTCGGACATGATCAAGTGCTTTATTACTTATATAGATTTTTCAATTATCTTGCTCGTAATAACTTCATACTTTCTTCTCATTCTTTTTATTAGTGCAAAAATGATGAGGAAATTGTTGCTGTTATAGCACATGAGTTGGGGCATTGGAAGCTAAATCATACGATGTACTCATTCATCGCTTTACAGGTATATGATTTAATATTAGATTAAATCAAGTCATGATCTGAACTCCATAGCTTGTAGCAGGCTGCATGTTATGTTATCTTTCTTACCACTCTGTAAAACATCAGTTTGAAATATGGCATGAATTTTTTGGGGAAAACAGAATGGGGATTATATGGAAAATGGTTTTTTGATTTGAAAGTTAACCAGATGACTGTCAAACCATTGAAGTACATTCTAAAATATAGCACCTCAAGCTGCTCTCTCTTATTCATGCTTCTGGCGGAGAATAAGTAAGGTTCTGATTAGCATCATGCTTATGTTGTCTTTTCTTTATGGTTATGTAATTGCAGATTTCCGCTTCCAATTCCACAAATAGTATATTGAATTTTTGTCTCTCAAAGAGATTTTTTTAATTAATTAATTATTTAATAATAATATATTTTTTTATATCTGTGTTCGGGCCAGCTGTGCGCACCTTGACTAATCATAGGACAACTGTCTAACTCTATATTAATTTATTATTATCTTATAATCTATGGTTATTTGTCTGGCACCACTGAACACAGATTTGCTAAGAACAAGTTAAGCTCTAGGCATTTCAAGTTTTAGAAGGCTCATTTTTTAAATGTTTGTGAGCAGATTCTTACACTTTTGCAATTTGGCGGATATACCTTGGTGAGGAATTCCAATGATTTGTTTCGAAGTTTTGGGTTTGATACTCAGCCAGTGCTTATTGGACTCATCATTTTTCAGGTAGAGATGGAACATAAAGTTGAATTATACTTCTAAAGTTGACATACTATGTTGTTCTTACTTATTGAGGTGTTGGGCTCTTCTACTATATTCACGTGTCGTTCTTCCTTGTGGGTTTGGTTTCTAAGGTTTTTTGCTTTTTTGTAATTATCTGTTAGGTGTTATTCTTTTAGATTGGAGCTCATTCTTTTAGGGGGTTTCCTATTGTCGGGCTGGGCTGTACTTTTTGTATGTCCTTGTATAATTTTTTCATTTATCTCAAAGTTCGGTTTCTTATAAAAAAAACATTTTCCGAGTCTATAAGCAATGCGCATATTTTCCCGTCCCTCATTGCATTTCCACTATCAAGTATCAACTGTTTCATTTCTTTCCAATCTGAAGTTTCAGTTAAATATTTCATTCTCAAGGAATTCTTATGACTCTATGCAAATTAATCAATTCACTCCGATGATCTGTATTTATAAAACCATAAAATGCTATAAATAGGAAAGATGAGATGGAATTAGTTTATTCTGAACAGAATTGAAATATGTCCTTCACCGTTGATTTTGGATGTGCAGCACACTGTAATACCTCTCCAGCACCTAGTAAGCTTTGGTCTCAACCTTGTGAGCCGATCTTTCGAGTTCCAGGTATGAAAGAAACACTTGCAGCCGCTGCTTTATTTTACTTCTATTTTGTAGGAGGATTTTGATATTCAAATACATTTTCGTCTTTTACGAAATGCAGGCTGATGCCTTTGCAAGGAAACTTGGTTATGCCTCAGCTCTTCGCGCCGGTCTTGTCAAACTACAGGTTATTATTAATCTATAGTTTCCAACGTATGCTGTGAACTCATCACATCTGACTTTTAATTATGATCATCTCTCCCTCCCTCCTGCTTTATTGTCATGTTTTCATACTAATTACATGCATCACAAGACTTTCCCTTATGACCCTAATTTATATTGCAGTCCCCATCGTCTAGGAATTTTTTCAATTTAGTACCTATGGTTTAAAAAGTTTCAATTTAGTGACCAATGTTTCAGCATTTTTCAATTTAGTTTCTAACTTTTGATAAACTTATGACATAATACTTAGTAAATCAGTGGAAATTTGGAGGAGAAAAGAAGTTACCTACAGAGAGGAAAGTTTCTAGAAATTTGTTTCCTGACATTTCTTTTCCTCCAAACTTCCACCAATTCATCAAGTATTATGCCATGCAAATATATCATCGGCGAAATTGTAACATTCATTATTGGTGAGAGGCTAAATTGAATAATATTCCAAAAATCAGGGACTGAAACATATGTTTAGTCAAAAACTCAACTTTTTAACGCATTCTGTAACCTCAGTGATAAGAATATTTGCATGCCAGAGTCGGACTAGTAATAAAAGTTTTGATTTCAGGAGGAAAATCTGTCGGCAATGAATACAGATCCCTGGTATTCCGCATACCACTATTCTCATCCTCCACTAGTTGAAAGATTGGCAGCACTGGACCAAGCGGATAAGAAAGCAGAATGATACACCGGCCTCGCTCGGTACATTTACATATATTTGGCAGGTGAATTGACGTTCTACACTACCTGATTGACTTTGTTTTGCGAGCGCTGATAGAGAAGAACTCCCTTGGGGGAAGCATGTTCTAGTTTTTCCTTAAAGAGGAAGAAAAAAAAACAGGTCTCTTTTTTTCTTTCTTGTTATTAACCTCTACTGTGAAGGGAACGAGAGAGAAACATCTAGTTACATTGTTGACAACTTTTGGTCGTATTACTTTTGATTAGAATGGTGTTAATCCTTTGCATTGATTTATCAACTTTTGCAAAGCTTCTACTAATCTTGTTTGCGAATGCAGGTTGATGCTTTTGCAAAAGGTTGTTCTGTTCAAGCCCAAATCGTGGTTATAGATGGTAAAATCTTCGATCACGTGTTTGGATTAACTTTCTATGGAAGGTTAAAATTATTTTTTCTTCTAAAAGAAAAACATCTAGAGAGTTTGGTAATAAATAATAATCACATTTGAAATAATCAAATTAGTTATAATTTTTCTTTTTTTGAAAATTTTATTTCAAATTGATTTCCAAAAAAGTGATTTTAAGGTGCTTGTAATCCGTGTTTGTAAAATTAGTCTTAAATGTAAAGAAAAAAAGAACAATTGTGATGGGGATCACTTCTAAAAAAAGGCAACAAAAACACACAAGTATTTTTTGAAAAATAGATATTTTAAGAAAAAAATATTTTTTCTCTGCAAGGAATGAAAACTTTTACTCTAGATTTCTTGCCCTAACTTGGGGATAAGGTATTTTCTACCTACCTTTTAAGTTGGTTTCTTTAGCAATATTGAGGTACTTTTCTACCCCTTTGAAAAAGTTGAGGCATCTTATTTCTTTCATATTACTAAAAATAACCATCTTTTAAGTAACCTTGTTTTTTGTTCCTTAGTTCTATGTTTAAATGGCATAAGAGCATGTGTAAATTGATATTGTTCTGTCCCTTTTCATCTACTTCATTTTGTTAACCCAAAATCTACAAAATAGGAGTACCTGAAAAAAGTATATATATATAGAAAACCAGAATCAAGACAAAGGGAAAACTTTAACTTCTCTTTTTCCATAAAATATAAATAGTTTAGAATACGTAACCTTTAAATATTATTGGGTGGATAGAAATTGTAGTTAAAGTTACATCCACCTAGAGCAGTAGTTATTGGTATCCACGTGGACAATTCATAGTTAACCTTTAGACGTGCATATAAAATTTAATTTGGTTTAAATCTATTTTTTCCTTTAGCCTCTAATATCTGCTTACTTTTAAAAGGCACCGTTTTAGTCATTTTTATTGTGTATGAAATTTATGTTAAAAGTTAGCAAAAAACCGACTAAAAATTTTTATAAAAATATAGAGATCAAAATGAATGTTTTGAAAATATATGAAGTAGATTAAAATGAATATTTTAAAAGTATAGAGATTAAAATGAATCAAAGTATAGGGATGAAAATGAATCAAAACTAAAAAAGAATCAAATCAATATAGAATATAACATATTAGATTTGCGAGGTTTTCTTGCTTTTACATGGTAGTGCTTATGATTAAGGTAAAAAAATATGATTAAGGTAAAAAAATAAAAAATGGTGGCGGAGTGAGAAATTTTTAAGAGGGGTAAATTTTACCTTCTAACTTTTTATTTTTATATATAATATTTCAATTCCAAAGATTTAGATGGCCAAACTAGTGCAAAACTGCAAAATATTTTTCTTAAGAAGGCAAAAAGAAAAAAAAAAAAGAAAGAGAGAGGAAAAAAGAAGAAGAAAAGAGCTACAAAATCTTAAGAATTTTATCTATACTTTTCTGAATTATGACAAACTAGTATGGGACAATTGTCTCTCCCTCTCTTCTTCACTCCTCCCTTCATACATATATATATATTTAATAATTTAAATTCTTCTCTCGTATGTATAGCAAATTAGAAAATTTACCAAATATAAAAAGTAAAAAAAAAACACATATCTCGGTCGTCATAAAAAAATGCACACAATACACACACATGGCTGTCACAAAAAAAAAAAAATAATAATAATAATAATAAAAATAAAAATAAAAGACCAGCAAATCCTTAACAAATTCCAGCCAATTGAGAGACTGTCCACTTGTGATTCAATTCCCTTCCCTTCTCTTCTCTTCTCTTCTCTTTCTCACAATTATTTTATTAGGTTTCCCATTCTTTGTCTTCACTCATTTGCATATTCTCTTAAAAGATTCCATTAATCACTTCCACATTCTCAACATCCATTTGCTTTGACAGAAAAGCAAGCAAATGGGATCCATCAATCTTTATGTTCTTTAAAAAAAGCATGTAGATCAAAAAGAAATATTCACTCTAAAGATTCTGAGTAATTGTCTAATCCGAGTAAATAACAGTTTTAGTTTATGAATGTTTCAAGATTGTGTATAAAAAGTTTTCAATTTTTAAGATCGATTCTTTTAATCGCTCAAACAGCCATCACCTTTGCACTTTGCTCACCCGGGCTAGTAGGTAGGAGCTTATCTATGGTGATTCACTATGTTTGCTTGTACCTATGGTCTATTGTCCATCGATTACTAAAATTAGTTAGTATACAATCACTACACTTTGCTTATTTCTATATGATAATATGCATTTTTTGGTTATATTTATTACGAGTAATAGTATCAAAAGAGTGAAGAGCGAATGATCCTCTAATTAAAAAATGCCATTGAGTTTGACTCATGCGAATGAGTGAAGAACGAATTAGATATTTGAAAGCTTATGACTAAATTTATAACTCAATATTTAATTTTGGAGTTAGCTCTGACTCTTTTAATTATTGTTATCTTTTAAATATTATATCTTCAATTTGAAATTTTATTTTAAAATTATTTTACTGATCGCGATGTAAATTTCCTGTTAATGTCTTTTGATATCCCCTCCCCTTCTTAATTATATATTTATTTTATTTGTTCATTTTATTGCCTCATTTTGTTTTATGTGATGATTTTAAATAATTCAATGTGTGCATGTAAGTCTTCGAACTCACAGTTTTTCTTCCTTATTTTGTCTTAAAGAGACATGGAATAATATAAAAAATAGTGGAAAGGAAAGGAATTGTTTCTAGTTTTGGTCCTTTTTTTTCTCTAAGTTATCGGTAGGACCAGAGTCTGTCATTTAGCTCTCTTGATTTAAAACATAAAATACGTGTTTGGTTTTAGTTCGAAGAGGTAAAGATTGAGGAAGGCCAGACGTGATTCACTCATGATATGCCCAATAAAATCCGTCTCAAGTCTCAAAATGACTTGTGCTTACAAATGTCACCGACGTAAAAATCGCTGATTATTAGGTATAAAACATAAAAAAAATAGTGGAGCAGCAAAATTCCCCCATAAAAGGTGAGATCCATTCCTCTCAAGGTAGTAATTCTATGTGTAAAGATAGTTCATTGAAGTGATTGATTAACTAAATCTTGTGTCAATATTCACGAGATTCAATTTCAAAATCCATTGGCAAGAGTAATTCATGTATATTATAAACATTTGTTAAGTCTCTTATTTTTTCAATGTGGAATCCTTATAATGGTGGTTCGTTTGGATTGACTAATCTTAGCTCAAATCTCTCTCTTTTTTTATTAGATACTTGTTTGAGTTTGTCGGTCTCTGATACATGTTTTTGCACGCAGAAAGTAAGAATGAGAAAGATGAACCAAAAAGTGTATTATTCTTATTAAATCTTTAGTGTGAACGATACAAATCTTTACAGACATCTCAACCTTTTAACAAAATAGAAAACGATGATTAATTAATCAACAAGATTTGGTTAATCATAACACTTTAACTAATACAACGACCTTTATCTAGTCACTAATTAAAGAGCTATGTTATACTCTGCAACTTTTACTAAGTTCGACTCGACATCATCTCATATTAAGCACTAATTTACAACTAACCAGCTTCCACCTCGTCGAAAATAATCAAAATAATATAAATGATAGTGGAAAGGAAAGTTAACTTTGTAATGTGCAAAATTTAAGTACCTTTTTTATTTTTTCCTCACTAATTTTATACTTTTTTTTTTCGTTATTACTTTGCCTTTTACTCAGAGTTGACAACTTATTTTCATTGTATACATGATTTCTTTTAACTTTGATCCATTGGAAGTTAAAATTAATGAAATAAAAATAACTTTTGAAAGTAAAACAAGTGGAAACAGAAAAGTAAAAAAAAAAAAAAAGGGTTTGATCTCTGGCATCCAAGAGTGTTAAACTTGTTTATTATGATGTATTAGTTTAGTTACAAATGACTAAAAAGGTAGCAAAAAATAAACTTTAAAAATTAAGGAAAGATTAAAATTTAATAAACAAAGTCACAGCAAGAGAATAATCCATGGTATATAAGTATGAGACAATTATCTCTGGAGTGAAACCAAAAGTAAAGTCGTGAGAGTTATAAAAAACATACAATATCATATCATTGTAGAGATATTTGAGAGTATTGGGTGCCCGTTGTCTTTAACAGAAATTAATTTAACTCATGCAACAATTTGATTGACAATTGAATTGGGTGGAGATACGTACGTCCGAATCAATTTAATTATTTAAACAATAATAATCCTTAAAAACCTCTTCAATAATTGAAATTGTTAGGCATTACTTTCTAAAAATTCATCATTAGAACATCTTGAAGACATCGCAAACAATCATCAAAATTTAATCTCATACAACCTCAAGTCAAAGTTAATTTAAAAAATAATAATAATAAAACCTCAAGTCAAAGTTGTAATCAATTAAGGAAAGATGATTACTTTGTAGTTATTTGGTTAATAAATACCTAACAATATTTTTAATTAGTGGGGTCAATATTGCTCTTGGAAAATGTGGAGAAAGGGGAAAAATGGGGTCATTCTAATTTTTATTTATAATTAACCTCGAGTCTTAAAGAACATAATTTTAAGTCAACACGAACACGGCTCAACAATAATTAACAATTACTTCTCTTTTATTGGAAGTTTAAATTTCTATACCCCAATTTATTGTACTAATAAAGGAACAATAGAATTTTTAAAATTAATTTTTGTTAATTAAATATTAATTTAAGATGAAATCAATCAAATTATTTCTATATTTCTACATTATAGTAACATTATTTATGGTAACACATTAAGTTTAAAGTTACTTCCATCTTGCGCCATTAATTCAAATTTGTATATCTGAGATTTAGAGAGTTTTAGACATATCTTTATGAGTTATTAAAATATAGAAAATACCAATTATTATTTAACATCGTTTCAAATCTCGGTTCTCGATAAAATAACAAATACAATATTTTTTTTTAAATTTTATTTTAACCAATATAAACATAACTAAGTAGTTAACTATGTACTGTATCTATCTTTCTTCAAGAGATTCAAATCCATACTCTACATATATTGTATCAAAAAAATTATTCTAGTGTGAGTTAAAACATTAGCATCTAAGATTTCCAGAACAAGTTTTCTTTATTTCTTTTTAGTTTGTTACTTCATAAAAATAGACCTATTTACTATTTTTTTAATCTAATTTTAAAATCATAATCAAAATTTTAAAAATTAAGTCATTTTTCAAATCAAGTTCACTAAAGGAGAAGATGAGAGAGGAAGAAGAAGATGGAAGAATGATAAGATTATGGCCTCAAAGTCCAATCGTCAACAATACAATCACCAATTTGTACCGTTGGGTGTTGGTGCAGTGGCAAGAGGTCTGAGGTGTCTCACCCAAGATCCAGGTTCGAGTCGTCTTATGTTCAACAGTAAAAAAAAAACAAGTGGTAAGCACGTAATATGTGGGTGGCTAACCCGAGGTACTATCTTATTATGAGTTAGTATATTATTATGCGTAGTCCAAACATTTATTTTACCCTAAAAACAGTTAATATGCCTTTTTTTTTTCTCTTTTAGATTGAGTAT